CCGCGTGCGTATTTTGGCTAAATTTACCTGGTAGATTTTAATTGAGAGTTGTAGATGAATTGTTAAACTTTTCTCTCCTCCTCTCTCCCCCCCCTTTTTTTTTTTAAGGTTTAGATTTTCTTGTTCCAAAGGCTGGCTACTTCTGTCAGATCTGCTCTCTCTTCTATGCAGGTGAAATGTCTATGAAAAATCATTGCAAGACACTGCGTCATCAGCAGAATATGGAGGTAACATTTTTTGCTTCTTTCCCTTTAAACCGAAGTAATAAAGTACCTGAGATTTTTTTTAAATCTATTTTGTTCTGTCTACAGCTAATTATCTCAGTAGTGGTTTTGCTGAACCGATAGGGTCTAGATGAAAAGAATGGTTTGTAAACCAATTGCAGATAGATGCAGATGATATTGTTTTTTCAATACCTCGTAGCTATGTTCTGTAGATCAAATAAAAATTATAACTTCAAGAGTGTACTACATTTTAAATTAAAGAAATGAAATTATTAACCCCTTAATGACCTTGATCATTGAGTTAAATGCTGGGTAATCCTATCTGTGATATCTTCCCTTTCCTAGCCTTGCCAAAAGTTAGTCATCAAGGCTCCAGACTGTGATTAAAATGGCTGCACATGTAACTTAAGATACTAATTTGACCATCAGAAAATTTAATTTAGGAGTCATTTACACCGTCTCCCCAGTGATGCAGGTGTGTGCTTTGAGAGAGTAAGAGGAGCATTGATAAGTGCATTTGACCAGCAGATCTGAAGATAAGTCTCTCGGCAAAATTAACTGGCAAACTCTGGTGGAGATTGGGTCTAGTCAATATCAGGAGTTGGCCAGATTCTGGATGTTCAATACATGTAAATGTGCATTGTATTTAGAACATGATGCATATCCTGCCAGGGAGAATAAAGTGTTAACTGTGGTGTCTTGTCATTGGCTACAAAGTAAGATGTTTTAAAATCTTTTTCCCCACAGAAATTCATGGCCAAGCAAAAGGATGGGGAAGATGAGGAGGAAGATGAGGGGGAAGAACTTAGTTCCAGGTGATCTCAGGAGGAGAGAAGAATTCTTTAAAACAATTTAATTTAGGGTCCAGTAAATTTTGTGTCTTTTGTTATGATTTAATTTGTAATTTTGTTTCAGAAGCAAACTCTGATGTTGTATAAATTTGAGTTCAAGGTAGACAAAGACAGAGAAGAAAATGTATGGTGGTTTTGATTTCTATATCAAATCATCTGGCTTGGGAGAGAGCTCTTAAGTGTTGAAATAAATGTTCTTACTGTATAGTTAACACCATGTGATTGTGTTTGGTGTAATTTCATGTTTGGCAATTTTACTACATCACTGTAGAGGATTTATGGAACCTCTTCCAGAGATCCACATTTAGTGTTTCTTTGCAGATCTTAGCTATTGAAATTTCAATCTTCACATGTTTCATGTAGAGCTGGGTGAATTGTCTTCCGAGAACAGTAAATTGATTGAAAAATATATTATTCGAGGCATCAATTATTTACCAGTTCGGGTCAAACTTGAATAGTTTCAGTTGAAAAAACTGCAAACAGAAATTGTGGAAATGTCAAAATGGTTCATTTTGAGTTGACATTTCTGAAACAAAATGTCTGTTTCACCCAAACATTTTTTCAGTGTTTTTGTTTAAGGAAGAAAAAACAGAGAAATTCAGTTTTGATTAGAAATTAACTGATTATTTTTTTCTTCAGATTTTTCAGTTTGGCCATGGAATGGAAATCTGTTTGCTAACTGTAGTTTCATGTGATCTAAAGACCTGATCCCCCACCTTTTGAAATCAGTGCAGTTTTGTTCTTACGTCAGTGGGAGCAGGATCTGGGCCTAGATTTGCTCTGTATAATGTTTATCACTAAGCTTAATGCTGAGTTATTCTGAGCAAATAAGTGTTGCTGTCTTCTTCAGTGAGATAATGGAAGGCCTTTGGGTAAAGAAAGCAGAACGGTCAGCGATCTATCCGGAAGTGCTTGGCTTGGTTTTGGATGTCTTATACGTACCTCAGGCATTCTTGCTACCTTCCCCTCCTCCCCCTCCCATCCCTTTTCCACAACATATCTGAATCTAAGAGCAATCGACTCTGCTTTGAGTGTTTACCTTTCACCTAGACCGCTGTCTGAAATTTTCCTATCAGACCCACTTTAACAACCTTAAATGTTGGATGGATAGTGTTGTGCATAACCCTTGTCCTGCAGAGGTAATGAATGAGAGCTCCCACCAGTCAAAGCAAAGATTCGCCGGATGTTAAGTCGCATCATATCATCGGTACAGATATTTTTAGTGTAATTGAGTCTGCTCAAGAAAGATCCAAGGCTGGGTTGTTAACGTGATAGAACTCTCGTAGTAGCAAAGTCCAGTCCATCGGGCATTTGCAAGCGCATATTCCTTTGGGAAAGTGGGGGAGTAGTTCCATGCATTCCTGTGAAACTCAGGCCACATCTCCCTCAAAAGCATGGATCCAGGGAGACAACACATCTGATTTTTCACTCTGTAAATTACTGCATTCTACTGAAGGATACAGGCTGTGTTAAAAGAGGGAGGGAGGGCGGGCCAAATTCTGCCCTAATTCTGTGTGATGAAATCAGTGGGTGGGGAGGGGCATGTGTGTAACAGAGGGCAGAATTTGGCCCAGAGTTTTAAAAAATGAAGAGCTTGTTTTCAAGAGTTCAGAAAAGTGATGTTAAAATGGATATGACAAATGGATTATTATAGAAGATTTGGGTGTTGGAAAGCATTTATAAAACTTCTGAATGGCAAATGTTTTTCCAACAGAGTTAGATCCTGTTGTCAGTTACACAACATGCTCCAGGGTAAACCGTGACAAATTTTGAACCCAGTTTTCAAAAACTGTTTATTCCAGTTACAAGAATAAAGTATACCATACGGTTTTCAATTTAAAATTGTTCGTTATGCAGCTGTAACTTTTTAAGCAGGTGATTTAAAAAAAAAAGTAGAGTCTTGTAGACTTCTGAAAAAGGACACACACTTCCGGCACCCATCACTCCTTAACTGCAGGAGCAGGGATCACTGTACAGGGAGCTGGTCCCCCATCCGCCCAGCCCCCGTGCATCCAGATCCCCCGTACCCAGATTCTGCCGCTGTACCCATTACCCCCACTGACGAGCCCCACTCCCCCAGCACTTGGACTACCCCAACGAGTCACCTGGATCCCACCCTACCAAGCCCCAACCAACTGCACATGGATCCCCACGTCATTGAGCCCCCCACACCCAGATCTCCCTTCTGAGCTCCCCCCCCCACCACACACACATATTGATCTCCCCCCCCCCGAGCCCCAGCCACCTTCACCTGGACCCCCCTGCAGAGTCCCATTACTATTGCACCCAGAACCCTCCAACAAGCCCCTGTGCATCCAGATCCTGCCACTGAGCTGCCCACTCCCAGATTGCCACACCTGGATCCCCCCACACTAAGCCTCTCCAAACTTGGATACTGCCTTGCTGAGCCTGCCTGCCCACACCTGGTGCACTGGCACAGAGGGGCAGGGCCCCGGGGTGTTTCTGGGACAGGCCCAGTCCTTGCACTGTGTTGGGGTTGGGTGCAGCCTCACCGCTGAGTCCGTGTCCTGGCAGGGGAGCTGCACGGTGATTGCCCACATCTGTGCAGCCAGTGGTCTGTGCTCCCCAATGCCATGCTGGAGCCTCACATTTATTTGACAAAATTTGCACAATTTTAAATTGTGTGCAGGATTTTAAATTTTTTGGCGCAGAATGCCCTCAGGAGCAGTCCTGAGCAAGAGGAGGATATTGGCTTATAAATTTGAGTGGAAAAGACATCCTGGCACAATACACTAGATGCATCCAAAGGGATGATCCACTTGTATAAATTCATCCAGACCGTTCAAGCCTCCAAGAGTTAAAAGATCTTCCATTTAAATCCTTCTGTATCGTCCCTATATGCAAGTGTAAAATAAAATACTCTTCTAAAATCACTTACTTACATGACCCCTTTACCAGAGTAGCCTGCACCTCACAATCTTTAACATATTCTCCTGCCACCACCTGAGGCAGTGGCATTACCCCCATATTTCAGAAGCTTAGAGAGACTGATTTGCCCAAGGTCACATGGAAAGCCTTTGGTGGATCAAGGAATTGAACCTGGATCTCTCAAGTTCCGAACCAGTGAGATATTCTTCCTCTCGTATATATGCTTAATCTCCATCACACTCATTGCTCAAACTGCATCACAACCTGGAATGAAATACAGTTCAGATGAGCTGATCGTTGATCGGTGTAATTTTAGAGCAAGATGACGGTAGGAGCTCTTTTTAAAAAAATAATCATAATTCTAGCCCTGAAATAGACTACTAGTAGTAGGCTGTTGGCTGGGCAGGGCATGCCGCTGGAGGGCATCAGCAGTTACCTCTTCCGCCACCGAACTCAGCCCCTGCTTTCTCTGCAGCCCTACTGGAGGTGGGGCATTGGCTGTCACCCACGTCTGTCACCTTTTTAGTCTGGGCTATTAGAGACCCTTGCGCCGTATAGTTACATGTCCCTTGTTTTCTAGGTTCATATGGGGCCTCTCATTGGACCCCTACACCAAATTCCTGTGAAGTTCCTCATCTTAATGTTGCTGTAATCTCAGCGCGGAGGATAAGAGAGCTAGTTTCTTAGGCTTGATGGACACTTAAATTGATGCCGGCATAATTATGTCAGTCGGGGTGTGAAAAAACCACACACCCCTAGCAAAATAGCTATGCTAACAAAACCACCAGCACCAATGCGGCTGTGCCAACAGGAGAGTGCTTCTATTGGCAGAGTTAATGTTATTCAGGGAGGTGGTGCTCCTGCACCAGCAGACAAACTTTATATTGGGGTACGCCGTCTCTACACTAGTGGGCTGTGCCAACATCGGCTCTGTAGTGTAGACGTGGCCTTAGTTACTCCTCCTTACTTGCAGTTCTTCCCAGGCACGTTTGATTCGCATCTTGGTTCCGAGTTTGTCCCTAAAGTGAATGCTAAAATGAATGAGCCTGTTGTTTTTAGCAGAGTTTTCTTCTAATCCTGTCCCTCCTCAGGGCAAGATCTGAACTCCTCTCACATCTAAGGAATGCAAGAAACCTGTAGGAAACTTTAACACTTCTTCATTGTCCTGTTTGGAACATAACGGCACCATAAGCCGGGGTGGCCAACCTGAGCCTGAGAAGAAGCCAGAATTTACCAATGTACATTGCCAAAGAGCCACAGTAACACGTCAGCAACCCCTGTCAGCTCCTCACCTCCACTCCCAGCGCCTCCCACCCACCAGCAGCCCCACCGATCAGCACCTCCCCCTCCCTCCCTGCACCTCCCGATCAGCTGTTTTGTGGCATGCAGGAGGCTCTGGGGGGGGGGAGAGCAAGGGCATGGCGGCTCGGGGGAGGGGGCGGGAAGGGGTGGAGTGGGGGCAGGGCCTGTGGCAGAGCCAGGGGGTGAGCAGTGAGCACCCCTCCTCCTCCCTCCCCCCCCCCCCCGGCACATTGGAAAGTTGGTGCCTGTAGTTCCAGCCCTGGAGTCGGTGCCTAGACAAGGAGCCGCATATTGACCTCTGAAGAGCCGCATGTGGCTCCGGAGCCACAGTTTGGGAGAGTGGAGTTGTGCCTTGGCTCACAGGGTTGCAGTGCCACTCACTCACTTTTGGCCTACCTGGGCTTCCATTGTCATGACGGCTGGGCCAAACCTGAGTGGCGCAGGGACCTTAGAGGTTGCAGTGACTGGAGCAGGGGAGGCGAGCCCAGCCAGCCCTGTGGGACAGGAGCTGCCATGTGACCCTTTGAAACATTCTGGGGACCCAATTTATGGGTTGAGAAACCCTGATCTAAACCATCCTTGAGAAGTGTGTCTTACCTGTTCTTAAAAATCTCCAATGATGGAGATTCCACAACCTCCCTAGGCAATTTATTCCAGTGCTTAACTACCCTGGCAGCTAGGAAGTTTTTCCTAATGTCCAACCTAAACCGCCCTTGCTGCAATTTAAGCCCATTATTTCATGTCCTGTCCTCGGAGCTTACGGAGAACAATGTATCACCCTCCTTTTTATAACATCCTTTCATGTGCTTGAAGACTGTTGTCCTGATTAAACAAACCCAATTTTTTCGATCTTCCCTCATAGGTCATGTTTTCTAGACCTTTAATCATTTTTGTTGCTCTTCTCTGGACTTTCTCCAATTTGTCCACATCTTTCCCAAAGTGTGGTGCCCAGAATTGGACACAATACTTCAGTTGGGAGCCTATCAGTGCGGAGTAGAGCGGCAGAATTACTTCTCATGTCCTGCT